TTCTAGCCATTTTCCAAATATCCAGCTGGCTAGCGAGTCGTCCCAGGAAACCTACCACCCCCAGACCGGGCTTGCTCACCCTTTTCTCTTTTCTATGGTCCTCTTCCTAGTCTCTGGTCCGGCTCGTCCGCCAGCGCAGACGTTCCCGGAATCGTTAATTCCTCTCAATATTGCAGGATCCTTTTCGAACGCGACGTCAAGTCGCTGCGCCATTTAGATGTCCACGTTTCCATGGAATAGCCACGGTCCATCGTGTTTCCAGGAAATTTTCCCGTTAATCGCGGTTTGCCCGATGGATCGATTTATTTTCTTCCGGATCTACCTAATCCACCGTCGAGTTCCAACGAGTCTGTCGAATATCGTCGTGCCCCGACCGACCGACCGACCGACCGACCGACCCCCTCTTACACGTTCTCCTTTCTTATCCGACGGGAAGATCGTCGTTGGAATCGCCTGGAATTTTCAGACGTGTCTGAACTGCGCAATGGTGTAACGATATAGAAGTAATCGGCGATAGTGGACGGAGAGGAGGCAGACGTGTCTTCGGAGAGACTCGTCGGTGTCCAAAGAGACACGCGTAGTTTCCCTAATTCCGAATTATTCGCCGGAATTCATAGGGACTGCGTGTGCGGCGAGTGGTGGAAAACGGGGCCGGGAATGGGGACTTTTCGGAGTAATTTGTATTCCACATTTCACGTGGAACTGCGAGGGGTGACGAGTGGAGGTACTCCTTCTCGTGTCTCGTCCTTCGTCTCTCCTGCCTTCGTCCTCTCTGTCCCTCTGCCCGGCGTTTTCACACGCGGCCTGCTCTCTCGCCAGAAGAGACTTACAGTCGCGCGGCGTGTATAAACGGCGGCCAGGGAGTAACGTCTGATTATGCGAACGCATGGCTGGTCGTAACGCGATTTAATATTAAAATATTATGACAAACGTCAACAGGAGGCGGGTGTAAAGAGACGCGTCTCTGATTGGCCGTCGACGTGAATACGAAACGAGAGACGGGGACACCTCGCCAACCCTTGTTTTGTACCCCGGGCGCTGTTCCATTTTCCCCGCTGTCACGCCAAAAACGACTTTACACGTTTCGATAAATTGCTCGAGTTTTAATCACGCTCTTGCCGTCCCCCTAACGACCACGTTCGAAATTTCTCCTTCCTTTCGCTCTTCTTCCAAGAGACTCCTCCCGATGGCTCCTTCGCGGAGGCTCGTTTCAACGCGCGCGACTGGAAAACGAGGGGCGAAACGGACGACGAACGCGCGGAATTTTTTCTCTTTTCGCATGATGGGTTAAAACGTTTCGATATACGAAGGAGGAATTGGTGCGTTCGCTGCACAGGTATTACGATGTTAAAAATCAATCAAACACCGGGCTCTCTCTCTCTCTCTCTCTCTCTCTCTCTCTCTCTCTGTGGAACCGTGCACAGAGATTCGAGCGGGAATTTTAATCAATACATACATAATAGAATATTCCTGCTATGGCGTATCGCGGCTATGAAAATATCACGGTTAACAGATCCAAAAGGGATGTTCAATATGGAATGCGAGGAAAAGCTAGAAGGTAAATCCGATTCGGATTTGTGGAATAAACGGATCGACAGTGCAAATCGCCGAATTTTTCCCCTGGACAACTCTCTCTTTTTGTCTCTCTCTCTCTCTTTTTCTCTCTCTCTCTCTCTCTCTCTCTCTCTCTCTCTCTCTCTCTCTCTCTCTCCCCTTTTCCCTCCCTTTTTTCCCTCTTTTTTGTATTTTCTCCCGCAGCAAGTGTCCCGATGACATTCGAGGCTAGTCTCTGTGCGTGCAGTGTAATTGGCGCGTATAAAACGACGCTAAATAAACACTCGGCACACCCGTGGCGAACGTAACGAGTGGAACATCCGCGATACCGTATCGATTTCCATCGAACTGTGCCGAAATCGATCCATTTTCGACGTCCCGAACGCGAAACCTCGTCGCTGCTTAGATATCCCCGGACGTCGCCGCGCGCGGCCAAAGATATTATTTTATCGATTCGCCACGCGAGTCCCCGATGCTATTCTCGCCGTCGCATTCTCTCGATTCGTCGATTAAAATAAACAACCGGCAGCCTCGATGCTCCTTCCCGCCATCCAAATGAGGCTCGCGTCGGACTGTCGCGTATTTCACGAAATCTCGGCTGAGTCACGAGCATGGGAGCGGCCCTGAGCGCGGGCCACGGATAGTTTCGACGCTTTTCAAAGACAGATGAAGCGGAAGACGAAGCGGCAGGATCGAAGGGGTCTCCAGCAGGGGGGAAAATCGAAAGTATAAAGACGGAAACCGAGGAACGGGGACCGGGAGAACTCATATACACGGGCGGGCGCACAGTAGTTCGGTGCGGTTCTCCCGAGGCATGGGAAGAGGTCAGGGGAGCTGGAATAAATCCAAACAGTAAACAGAGAGAAAACGAGCAAGAAATATATATATATATACATACGTATATATATATCGAGAGAAAAAGAGAGAGAGAGAGAGAGAGAGAGAGAGAGAGGATGGCAAGGTTCGCGGGGGTGGATGGTCGGTGAAAATTCTAATATATAAAAGATATGAAGGTCTGGTGCGACGAGACGACCACGTAGCAGAGGCACGGGGCTGAAGTCGAAGGAGCCTTCGGGATTCAAATAAGTGGCGTTACCGGAGCCAGGAAGGGGAGGAAAGGGGTCGAAGGAATCTGAACAGCCAACAACAAGCGCGGCTCCCCGACCTTTATTTAACCTTTTCTTAAAAGAGTCTTAGGAGTCCCTCTTATCTGTAGTCGATGGCCCTTCAACGTCGGCTCTTATACTTTCATTCTTTCCGTACCCTTATATTTTTTTCCTTTGGCCCCGGTCGTGTACACACGTCGAGCTTCATCGTCGTTACCCTCTATACCCCCAGCCCGTTCGCCCCTCCCCCTTGGCCCCCATTTTTTTCGTGGCCTGAACCCACCCTCGACGCTGCTGCGCGATTTTCCACCCCTTTCGGCCAGGGTGACACGACGGCGCGTCGGACGTTCAAGATTCTTCGTTTCTTCGTTAGAACGGAAGCGACGTAGGTGGAACGGAGCGAGAGGAGAGCGGCAGAGAGAGAGAGAGAGAGAGAGAGAGAGAGTAACGGACTCGGTATTAATTAGCGAATTAAAGGATCGCGATCTAGCCAGGGCGGTGCGTCTCTGGGCTAAAGTGGATTAAAACCTCCTGCCGATCGTTGCTTTTCATTAATTTCGTTGAGTAAACGGCCCTGTCGCTCGCGCTCCTCGCCTCTCGAATCCTTTCTTATTGTTTTTTCCAAGGCGACCGGCCGACTCCTCGGGGACGTTTCGAAAAAATCCCCGTTCGCCAGAGTCGAACCGTCAGCGGCGGATCCAGAGGATCCGTGCAGCCACGGACGGATTTTTCCTGAGAAGAATCGTGGATTTTCCACCGACGACTCTCCTCTGTTTTTCCACCGTGCGTTTTTTCCTTCCGCCTCGCTTCGCTTCGAACTTCGGAGACGAAACGCCGCCACTCCTGACTAAACACTGATAACGCCCTGCGCCTCCCCGTGGGGACTTTCTTTGCATGTTATAAACATACGTAATCGTACACAAATAAGATTAGCATAGGACTCGCGGCGCCGGGTTCGACCAAGAGACACACGCTTTTCACGCTCAGGGAAACAATCGCGAGGCCGACTTTCCATGCCGAATCGAGAGAAACGTGGAACGCGGAGAGAAGAGCGGAGAAGAGAAAGAGCAGAGAGCCACAGAGGAATCCGTTTTAAATTTATCTCTGACGAGTCCCTGTCTCCGTTACTTTCCTCCTTTCTCTCTCACCCTCTATTTTTCTCTTTTTCTCTCTCTCTCTCTCTCTCTCTCTTCCTCGATTCGCGATTCGACGAAAAGCGTGCGCTCGCTCGCACCCAAGCGTGGTCCACCCAAGACCGACCTTCGATCGCGAGGCGACTTTTGACGATTCACCGCGCGTCTCCGTTGTTCCGTTCGCCCGGAATCGGCTCCGCGCCACGCGGAAACGCGGCTTCGAAGCGGGCATTCTAAGCAGCCTGGATGACAGAGGCGTGCTTGCTCGTTTCGAGGAATCGAAAACAGGTCCCGAAGCAATTTACAAACAAGTGGAAGTCTTACGAGACGCTTCTGCAAACACGATTAAGCGGGAATGGAAGAAGTGGCCGAGTCATTGTTGGCTTGGACAAGCCTGTCATTCTTCCTGGTATCGATCAGCGAATGATCGGGCGAGGAGGAGTGGAAAAGATTCTAGAAACTCTCGATAAGTCCTGCCGTGGCATTAACTCGTTCCCTCCGCGAGATTTCGAAGAGAAACATCGAGGAGAACGGAAGAGGGAACCGGTAACGCAATGTTCCGCCTTTACACTCTGCAATCTACTTGATGATAGAACTTAATAAAACAAATCCCGCTGCGTAAACAACGAAGGAAGGAGACTCGAGTCGACGCGATTCAGACAACAGCGAGTTTTCCTCTCGGTGTTCTCGAAGCCAGCCAATGATGACGGAGGATACCAAGACATCTCGGGCTCGAATACCATTAGATAAGATCAATATTGCTCAAAACACGCTGGAAGTTTAACGCGCGCACATTACACGGCATTTATATCATGAATATTCCGCCCCGGGGCTTCTTCTTCCCTCTTTTCGTTCTCGCCCGGCTTCTTCGTCCCTTGCAACAACCATCTCTAGCAACCCTTCTTCTCGTTATCTCGCGTTTCGCTTCGTACAAGCACCGGTGTCGCCAAAACAGAAACTCCTTTATCTCTTATTAAACGAAACCTGAATTTAAATCACCATTGCCGGAGCGTCGTCTCGCCGCGAATTTTTCCACTCCGATTTTTCCGTCCTACCCCCCGAAAAATCGCTAGAAATAAGTAACCTTTCCCGAACCCATTTATAGTTTCATAAAAGAAGAAAAAGAAGGAAGAGAAAAAAAAAAAATATCAGAGACAGCTCGCAACCGACTTTGATCGAGCTCTCGATCTCCATTTTCGTATTGCAGGCTACTTCGCTGTTTGCAGCCCTGAAGCAGCAGCAACAACAACAGCAACCGCGCGACAGTGTCCCCTCGTCGAGGGAGCGCGAGAACCGAGAGCGAGATCGGCTGTCGGTGCGTAGCCGTGAGAACAGCCGGAACGAGCTCGGTGGCGGCGTGACGGAGCAATCGCAGCAACCGCAGCAGCAACAACAGCAACAGGAGCTCACGATCGAGTATCAGAGCAATGGAAAGCTCAGTCCCGCTGGGCACACAGTGACAGCAGCACCCATGACCCAGCAAAAGCAGCCTATCATCACGCAGCAATCGCAACAGCCGAGTTCGGGGGCGCCTGGTCCCCAACCGAGTCCTCATCAGAGTCCACAGGCCCCTCAGAGGGGGTCGCCGCCGAATCCTTTGCAAGGTCCTCCGCCGGGAGGGCCGCCAGGGGCACCACCCTCGCAAAATCCCCCGCAGATGATGCTCAGCCCGGCTAGCGGCATCCATCAGATGCAACAGCTGCTGCAGCAACACATACTCAGCCCGACGCAACTGCAGTCGTTCATGCAGCAGCACTCGCTGTACCTGCAGCAGCAACAGCAGCAACACCATCAGGTACATTCTTTTCTATCTTTTCTCTGATCGCGAGAAATCTTTTCCAAACTTTTCGTTTGTCGATGACGTATCGATAGACAACGGTCGCGAAGATTGACAGCCTTTTCACTGTCAATTGGCTAGAAATTTTTTAAACGGGCTCGCACTTTGTCGAGCATTATGCGTAACTTTAGGACGGAAATATTTTGCGAGTGACTCACGTGGTTGAATCATCGACTGAAATTGGATTGATTCTATTCTTGCAGGACTCCGCGTCGGAGCATGCGTCCAATCAGGAACGATTCGGTTACTTCTCGTCTCTCAAGGACGTAAGTATTCCATTCTTTGGATCTTCATTGTCAATGCTTACAAGCGGAGGTATCTCGGGTTTCGTTGCTCCGTTCTTCCGAGTTTATTGTCTCGTTCCGGCAGGGTACATTAGCGAAGTTTGTCCCTTTTATCGAACAAGCATTGCATCTTGGCATGGTTAAACATCCCCCGGATACTCTGTCGGGTAAACAGACCGCCTTTTATCACCCGCCGTCGGCCATTGATAATTTTAATTATAAAAAGTGTCCGTTTAGTGGACCCGCGTTCCCCTTCCCTTTCTCGTCCTTTGACTAAACTTGTACAAACATTGGGACAACCTTTCCAGGATAACAGCCTCTCGAAGAATGTCTCGAGCTATTCGCCCCGACATTCTCGGATAAAACTGCCTCCTAGAGATATTCGGAAATTCCAAACATTCTACAACCTCCATCGCGCACCTACGGCGAATTATCGAGATTTTTCCTTTCCGACTCCTCCGTCGCAGCGAGGAATTCTACCGGTGCAATGTTGACTATAAAACTGTCGGATAATTCGCGATTTCGCACAGCGGGCCTGGGAATTTCGATGCTCAGCAAACAGTGCGCCTCTACCTCTCGACCTGCCGTCGCGTGTATCGTTGAAACTGTACATATTGTTCCTCGACTCGATATTACCTTCGATTCTTGCCATTAAAATTTTAAATATCCACGCGGAATGGTTCTTACACGTCTCCCGTAAACAGCACAAAGGACGTTTCAACGCAAATACGTATCGTCGGTTTGCACACAGGCTCTATAGCTTCAATGGAGGCATCAAATATTTATTTAGCGGCATGGCCTGACCGGTATCCTTTACTCTACAAATTTAGACAGTCCACTCGGACAGATTATTGCGAGAGCTCGCGCGAAAGGCGATCTCAATTACCGAGAATTTAACGTACTTTGATCACTGTGATCGCGAGACGGTACCGCGATTCGGATATGCCCAGCGAGGGAAAAAGGGCCTCTTTAACGAAACCTCGTTCTGTCTCGTTAATCACGCGGTTCTGGTTTCTACTATGATACTATAAGGGGCGCCTACTTCGGCGGGTTTGTTTTAAAATATCCTCCAGGCTTAGAGACGGCGGGGGATGAACACGGAGGGGATGAGGTTAGCAATTAAGCATCGCCATCAGCCGTTGTGTCTCGTTGTTTGTCTTCTGGCTACCCATCAACTGCCCCCTGTCTTCTTCTTCCCTTCCCCAGCGAATTATCCGCGTCTGAGATTTATTCAGCAGCGTCAAGATGCAACTTTTCCACCCCTCGGTTTTTCTCCTTTCTTCAACGCGCAATTTCCCCCGCGAGAAGTGCCCCTCGTCCTCCAGGGTCATCGTCGTTACGCGTGTAAAAGTCTCGGGGAATTTTAAGGGACTAGTCGCCGCACGGTTGGTACACGCGAAATGCTTGCAGCACCAGCACCAGTTCGCGGAGCTGGGCAGGAAGAAGCTGGAGCAGGCGATACAGCAACTGCAGGAACAGTTGCAGCTGAATATGATCCAGCAGACGCATCTGATGCAAACCGCGGACAAGAAGAAGGCATCCGTTCCGCTTCAGCAATTGGGACTTCAACAGCAACGCCTGATACAGCAGCTACAGATCACGCAGAGCCAGTACCTTCTTCAACATGGCCTGGGTCTTCAGGGTCACAATCCTTCTTCAGGTACGAATCGAATCGTTCAATCGTCGACGAGAGAATACTCGATCCTCGAATTTTTTAAAGATTCTCGTATTTTAAAAGTAATCTGTGCCTCGAACAGCTAGAAGCAATCGTTACGAGTAAGTAATTCCCGTAAGTAATTACCATAAGTAATTACCATACACGCGTACACGTACGGAACGAGTAATTTCCAAAGTAAGTTGATACTGGAGGCGACCTCCTGATTTAAACAACAATCCACCAAGCCAACCCCGAGTCTCCGGTCCCGTCGAGTAATCTACCCCCGCACTTTCTCATTTTCCACTTCACCCTGGGCAAAACTTTCCGCACAGAAGTGTTTCGGTTGCGTCGGATCTCGTTCCGGCGATGTTTTTCTTCCTGACGCGCGTACAGAAAGCAAGGAGGATGGGTGGAATAATAGGACGGGGACCAGGAAAACGACAGAATCCTCATTCGAAGTGCGCTCTTGCTGCTTTTCGATTCGAAAATTCACGCGTGAAGCAAACTTTCGCGGTATTTTACGATAAACTGCGAAAGAAGGGACGCGAGAGAGATTCTCTCGTTCAGCCTTGTCCTTCTCCTTGTTTTCTCGCGACACCTTAGTCTCCGTTATCTCGCCTCTTTTCTAGCGTAGCTAATACGAAATGTATAAATACTTTGACCAGGTCTGCAACCTAACGAAGGTCTACCAATGTGGAAATCGGACACGTCGGATGGTCCGGAATCCCACCAGAACTCGAACGTTCCAAAATCCGTGGCTGGACTCAATGGTAAACAGAAATTCTCCTCCCGTCAAACGAGACTCGAGTTTCCCTTTGTACTCTTAATATCGCTCCCCCTGTTGCCCCAACCCTTGGTCCCCATCCGCCCAGTTCTTTTCGTTCTTTCTTTTGCTTTTATTTGGAAAATGCGACGTTCGTTTCCGGACTATCGCAGGACTTCTCAATTCGACAGTGTCGAGTCGGCGGTCGGAGATGAATGGAACCACTCCACTGGACGAGAAACCGCTGGACGTTTCCTCCAACGACAAGGTTCATCCCCTGTACGGCCATGGGGTCTGCAAGTGGCCAGGCTGTGAAGTTATTTGTGAAGACTATCAAGCATTTCTTAAGTGAGTCCACAACTTTCTTAAACTTCCTTCGACCTTTGTCGTTCGTTCCGTAAGGGCCAGAGATACCGAATCGACCATCCCCCGACCTTATTAATTTCTTGGAAACCGAGCAAGGGCACGGACCACGGATTTCGTGCGTTCCTCCTTCGTTTTCCCTCCCCATTTTTCGAGTTCGACGACCGATCCGAAAACGATTCGAAAACGATTCGGGATCTCTGGTGTGTACCATCGGAAAGTAGGTAAATCCCAGCACGGCAGACGGGTTAGAGTGTCGTCCTTGGGACAAGGGAGAAGGAAGGGAGACGGAAAGAATAAAGTCGGCAATTTCGTGCGGCGGAATGAGTTAGGCGAAGGCGCTGCTCGCGGAGCTGGGTAGGAAGTGTAGAAAAATCGCTGGAGTCAGCGTATCTCATTGACATCCGGCACCTTCTCCATCGGTTTCAAAGCAGAGGCAGCATTCGCCTCCCTCGTTCGACGGCAATCCCTAGTAATCACGCGGCTCGTCGCCGCGAACTCCCTCAAACAAGCCGTTACTTAAAAAAGGATGGGAAAAAAAAGGAAAACGCTAATTACCTTTGTCTCATTAATATTCACGACATTCGACCGCATCGTTATGCCTCTCGGTCTAATCCCCTTCCCCCTGTCCCCTGTGCCCCTTTCCACGGACCTTCCCGTATTCTTGGTCTTAACCAACCTCTCCCTCCTTGCTTTCTTCACCCTCTTCTACCCTTCGCGATACAGCGCCGGCGACGAAGAAGGATTACGGAAATTCTTAAATACGGAATCTCGTTGGCACCCCCTCTCTTCTCTCCGCCGACCCATCGTCGAGCTCGATTCTTTTCCGTTGTCCCGTGGGGGTAAGATCCGCCACGGTCAGAGACAAACGTTTCTTTGTAACACCGCTCAGCTTTGATTTCCCCGTAAACGACCCGACATTGCCCGTAACATAATTTCGTTGGTCCTCGCCCACTCGGGACGAAGGATTCACAGGCGAGAGAGAGAGAGAGAGAGAGGGGGGGGGTTGTTCTCCGCGGAAGATCTATCGGACGGGGAGCTACGCGAAACGTTGGTACGGGAAACTATACTGGGAAAACGATATTGCAGGCACTTGAACACGGAGCACACGCTGGACGACAGATCGACGGCGCAGGCCAGGGTTCAGATGCAAGTGGTCTCGCAGCTGGAGATTCAGCTGCAGAAGGAACGGGACCGGTTAACCGCTATGATGCACCATCTGCATGTGGCGAAACAAATGGCTTCCCCCGAACCACCAAAGTCGTCCGAGTCATCGGTGAGTGTTCGCGTTACGAGCGACGATTATCATAGAGTGTACCGTGAAATAATAGAAGCACGTTTTGCATACGGGAGCAGTTTCCAAGCTGTAGTGCTGTCCAAGCTGTGCTCGATGCAATAAGGAGGTTCGCGGACAGCGCTAAAGTAGCCATTAGAAACTGCTCGATCGGAAGTTAGCGTAGAAAAACAATATGTCAGCGTAAATTATAGCGATGGCAGAGTCGTATACGCACGATATGGATAGCAATAATCGTAAGGTGGCAGGTTATGCGGTCTGGTCTCGTCGGTCGAGCGTCGGGCGAGCGTCGTAGGAACGTCGTAGAAACGTCGTAGGAACGTGGCGCGGGGCCGGAATCCGGAAAAACGTTTCCTAACGATCGTGTCGGGATGGTAAACTCTTCTGGTAGGACCGGGGGCCGTTCGGTAGTCGTAAAGCCAGATTTTCACGGCGCTGGGGAATTTTACGAGCTTTCGCCGCGGCTAACAACAACGCCAGTTTCAGTTTTAACGCGCCGCCGAGTAGACTCGCTAATTTATACATAAAGTTTGCATTAATAATTCATCGGGTCCTCGTTGATTTTATATCGCCTTAATTAAAACCTCTAACAAGTCCGACAGTCGGAGAATACCAATATCGCATTAGCCCTTTCCGCGCGCGGCTGCGTGGCTCGTCCTCTCTGGCCGACTTAATTATTTTAACGCGAAAGGGAGGAGCCCCGCCCTCCGCGGCGTTCGGATCATCTCTGATATCGAGACCGTTCCTCTCGAATATTTCATATCAACATATTCCAATGTGACTTGTTCGTTAATAAAAAGACTTCCCGCCGTATTATGACTTTTTATAACCAACTATAAAACAAAGGATATCCTGTAACGAATAATATTACTACGCCGGTAGTTCCACGTTGCTTCTCTATCCTCTTTCGCCCCGTTAAACCGACGTGTCCTCGTTTTTTCAGAGATTCTTCCTTTTAAAGTTTCAGCCACGCATGCACGCACGTATCGCGAGTCGTTTATTCGGATTAACGTGCGCGAAGGGAAGGATAACAGACGTGCGAGATATTTCGCAAACAGGTCACTGGCTGTTCGAGGTTTGTCCACGGGTAGAAAAAAGAAATGCTCGACGATATTCAGAAAGCGTGCAAATAATGGCCAAAGGCGTTTGATCCGAGCGCGCAACGCGTGTGTCTGTTCTTCTCTTTCCAGACGGGCTCGAGTATACCAAAGTTAAATCTCTCTACGGCTCTGATGAGCCAACCACCACCGAACTTCAACGTCTCCCAAGTGTCCACCCTGGTCTCGGCAGTGAGGTCGCCAGCAGTGCCGCCATCGGTCGGAGCACCCATGCCACCCATTCCCAACATGTCCAACATGTCAGGGATGCCTCCGCTGTCGAATATGGCGGGCAGTATGCCCACGATGCCGACCATGCCCAGCATGGCCGGGCCCATCAGACGACGTATCAGTGATAAATCCGCGCTTTCCTCGGTAGGAGGTAAGGTCTTCTCGTTTCCTTCTAATTCCACCGTTACGATCTTGTCTTTCACGTGTTCCTAATTAAGTTATTCTCCACGTGGATCGATCTCCGATCTCGGTGATAAACCGGTTTAATCGGTTCGATCGAGAACCAGAGATATCGCGATTAAAATAATTTCACGCCGTTGGACACGCGCGTTCTTCCGTTTTTCACCCGCGATAATGATAATTTAGGCGAGAATAAACGTCGATTAGTCGGTCTCGAAATAGCCGCGATAGCTGTCGAGATTCTCGCGCGGTTTCACTCGCGGTATCGTTCTTTCACTACCGTTTTCCGTGCACGCGAGTTTTTATCGCGTTGCGAGATACGAGGATAAGAGAAAAATGGATTGAAATGTGAAACGAAAGACATGTGAATTCAGAAATTGAATACTATTCGTAGGACTGTATGACGAGGGCACTGTAAGGCGCAGAGTAGCCGTCGATAGATCTGGAATAGATATTAACGAAGGTAACGATTTAACCAAAATTCAGTCGGGGAAACGCGCGACCCGTGAAATGCTATATTTCTTTTCCTCTTACTTCGTTTGAGAAACGGTTAAAATTATCTTGACCTCGAGTTAACATAATTTTACTGCAGCCAATGGTGAATTTATCCGTCCAATGACCAAAACAATTACACGCGTGTGTATCTTTTTAACAAGCATTTCTCGGTTCGTTCTCATGGAATACGCCCCGACAAAAAGAAAATCCTGTAGCAAATGCTCTTTACGGTCCTCTCTTGATCTCGTGCCTTTTTTTCCTGTCGTAAACTCTCTACCACACGCACAGATTTATTCACGGTAGCGACAGTGTCACACGAGCTACAATGTTCGACACCTTTTTGGCGACGCAGGACGAACGTACTAGGTATTATCGACAACGAAAGGTGCAAAGAATCGAGCCAATAACAGAAAACAATGGAAAAGAGAAAATTTAACATTAAAAAAAAAAAGAAAAAAAAAAGAAAAAAGAATTTATAAATTCTAAACATACGCCAGTTCGAACCTCTTTCTTACCGATGCTTCTGTTGTTTCCTTATTTCTTGTGCTGCCCGCCCTCCCCACCGTGTAGGGCTGCCCTACATGCTGGAGCGTGCTGGCCTTGACGTCCAAAAAGGTACTGTCAACCTTCTTTCCACGCTCCTTTGGTGGCTTTAAGGATTTTCTTAAAGGGTGCAGCCTTGCATGCGGGAAAACTTTACCCCTTTCACCCAGTCACTCCCCTTTTCTCCCGTAGAATAGAGACTTGGATACTTCAATCGTCATCCCCGATTTTCTATAGAGAGGGATGAACGAGGCTCGACAAGGAGTATCGGCTTCCACCTACCCCGAGTCATCCAATCGCTTCACGCTTACTCTTTCGTCTAGTTTTAAGAATGTCGTAAACGGTTTCGTTTCGGTGTTCGTTTCCCGAGCATGCGTCCACCAGCATATACCGATTATCGTTTCGCGAGAACTGGATCAATCGTCGCGCGATTACCCCTTTGCTTTTACATCGCAGACACGCTGCGCGTCGAGCGCAAAATTGAAAAAAAAAATATTTATAGAACACGCGGTAGCTTTCCCGAAACGTTTGCTTTCAATGGGGGTAACCATCTCTTGGAACGGAGCTTATGCCATTAGTGTACATTGCTTGTTAGTTGTAAATCCGAACGATCAGCCTGAGTCGCGCGAGAAGAGAGATGGTGTCGATGAACTCTTTCACCCCTACGACAAACGCCGCGTAACCCACCCCCTCCCACCATTCACACGTTCGCCACATTTTGGGAAACACAGCGAGCTAAGCTTCTCGATCTTTCAGATATTCAACAAAATAGGGAATTTTACAAGAACACCGACTTCAGACCGCCGTACACGTATGCGTCATTAATCAGACAGGTGAGTGAACCATTCGATACGTTAGACGTATTCCTTTGGCGTCCTGAATAATTCAGATCTTGAACGAATTGTCCGATAAGAGCATCCCTCTTAGTCGGTTTAATTTTCGAAGGAACACTCGAAACCGGTGAGGATTAATTTTACCCGTCCCCCCGTCGAGAAACGTCAAATCGAATCGCGAATTTTTTCCTCTTCTTCTCTGCTTCGCAGTCGATCATCGAGTCCCCGGAGAAGCAGTTGACGCTGAACGAGATCTACAACTGGTTCCAGAACACGTTCTGTTACTTCCGGCGCAACGCAGCAACGTGGAAGGTATATCTCTTCACTATAGTAACAAAGTAAAAATCGTTTATAGGAAAAAGGAGAAAGGAAAGAAAGGAAAAGAAAAGAAGGTACGACAGTCTTGGAATTTGGAAATTTAAAGTTCGTTTTGAGGGTTGGGCAATCGAGGGGTTACCATCCGCGAGTGATCGCTCGATTCTGTTTCCAAAATCGCGTGTCACTTCGCGATTCGAGTATCTCGCATTCGATCCCGTTTTTCGCTAACCACTCGAGCACGCGATTTTAGCAGCATTAGCAGCAACCGCGTGGAATCGTAAAGAACTTCGGTATAAATAACCGATCCGAAAGCGAGAAAATTTCGGGATTACAATTTTGTCGATGTAACCAAAAATTCGCCGTGCTACCCGTGTGCATCTAGGAAGTCTAAAATAATTTTCTCCTCTAAATGGATGAACTCAGCGTGGCTCGAGTTATGCAACGTTTGATTGCAAGTCACAAAGACGAAATGACTGGTCGTGCAATTTGCATTTACGAGCAGATTAAGCTGAATGCGTTTTAACTAGAAAGGATGAGCTTTCAAGAATCTCAGATAATCTTACGTATTAATTTGAATTAACAGGCTAAGTGATGTGCCCAGCAGACGAGCTGGTAACGATAATTGTGTTGCTTTCCCGATTTAAGGGGGAGACTCGGTAACATGTGAAATACTACGTCGTGTTGCGATTCATTTGTCATCTATCGCGTCTCTTCTCGTCTGCCAGCCCCCCCGCAGTTGCTTATAATAAGAACCGTCCATTGGATGAATTTTACTCGGGTCGTTTACTAACAGAAATCGAATCGAGGAGCGATGGATCTCGATGGATGAAATCGTAATGCGATCACATACACGATACGCTTGTTGGCAAGAGTGCGCGCGCGCGTGTGTTTTCTGCGTGTGTGCGAGTGAGCGTGGAAGTAATCGACGTTTGCCATGACGCTTCGCCTCGCATGGTTATGTGTATCTGAAAATTTTCAAAGCAACCACAGGTTCGACGGATCATCCGACAGAGGAGGAGCAGCCCAGACTCGACGGCCCGGAGGATCCACGTCTTCCTCGCCGATGGAGACCGTGGCCATCCACGCGACCTTCTCGTACAATCTTCCTCAATTTCTTTTATATATATTATTTTCTCATTTTTTTATTATTTTTTTTTACTCTTTTTTTTTCTTTTTTTTTTTTACTTCTTTTGGAATTTTGTACGGCCCTGCGGCATGTATGATTGTTGTCGTTGCCCCTAGACTTAGATGACTAGCTGTGCATTAACGATAAAGGAATGCCACATTATACCGTGTATCTTTCGATTAATCGTTTTGGTTCGTTATGTCCTCTTACGGCCTTGTCATTGCGCGACCATCGCCGGGTATCCTTTGCTGCTCACACACGACGTTACTACTAATTCACTCTTCAATCAGTATTCCGTTTTTTCTCCGGTGCTTTCCTTGCTCTCTACGTCGAGCCGTTTCTTAAGTTCAAGTTAGAGACAGCCTGTCAGGCTGCCACTTTAAATCCACGTGACATCCGCGTCATCTTATTCCCGTTGTCATGTCATAATTCTATCGGTTCGCAGAATTAGAACGTGTTAAAGTGATAGCCTGAGTCATAGACATGTTCCCTCACAAGAAACACGTTACAGCTTGTCTAAAGTTCGATAGACCGAACAGAAATACCAGAGAAAAGTGTCAAAGATCCCGTGCAACAGTATCACACCTTATCCTCTCGATGTTTCTCCGAGACAGACAGAATATTATCTCATCCACCCTGTCGGTTTTATCACCATCATCATCGTCGTCGTCGTCTTCGTCGCCTTCGTCGTCGTCGTCGTCGTCGTCATCGTCGTCGCAGTCGTCGTCGTCGTCATCGTCGTCGTCGTCGTCGTCGTCGTCGTCGTCGTCGTCGTCGTCGTCGTCGTCGTCGTCGTCGTCGTCGTCTTCGTCGTCGTCGTTCTCTGACGCCGGGGATGACGGAAATACCGACTGTATAAAAAAAAGAAAAGAAAAGAAAAGCAAAAGAAAAGAGAAAACAAAAAAGAAAGATTACACGCCATCGAATCGTGTTCCCCGATCGACAGCCGGCCTCGCGATTGAGTTGGCTTCGTTCGTTTTTTGCGTTGCTTATTTAGTCTGTGTATTATTTTGTATAGAACGCAGTGCGACACAACCTGTCTCTCCACAAATGTTTCATGCGAGTCGAAAACGTGAAAGGCGCCGTATGGACGGTGGACGAAGTGGAGTTTTGCAAGAGACGTCCTCAACGCGCTTGCAGCACGACCGGGTACGTTGCCCCCGTCCCACCGACAAAAACAAAATTTTACAGCCGCGATTTTTATACTCTTTATTCCGTCTCTATAGATCTATACTTCTATATATTTATATTTACGACATATATTATATATATATCTATTTCTTTCTCTGTCTCTTTCTATCGATATCATTATATAATAATCTCCTGGCCCCCCCAAAATCGATTTACCAATAACCGGTTCAGACCACAATCCGAAATAATCGGCCTCGGTCGCATCCCTTCTCTTTACTTCTCTCCCCTTGTCCTTGGTCAACGAGTTCCCTTCTTTGTTTTTTTTAAATATATATTTATATATATATATATTATATTTCTATATATTTCTTCTCTCTCTATCTGTGTCTTTTTACATATTTATATAGATATTTATATAGATATATTTATACATACTCTCACTTATTCGCTTTTACTCTCTAATTACATACTCGTTCCGCTAACCCATTCTCCCCGCCCTTCATGTTTATACTGCCAAGTTTTTTACAATCTTTTTATCTTTTATATATATATATTAATATACGTATTTTTACATTTTTATATATATACATTATATATATGTCGATATTTATATATACATTTATATATATATTCAATAGTGTTTAACGTTCTATATTTTTTATATA